TTTCTCAAGAGGCAGGTCAGGTGGTCTGGTATTCCCATCTCTTTCAGAATTTTCCACAGTTTATTGTGATCCACACAGTCAAAGGCTTTGGCATAGTCAATAAAGCAGAAATAGATATTTTTCTGGAACTCTCTTGCTTTTTCATGTTATACATATATAAATTGTCTGAAATGCTATGAAAATACAGGCATAGTTATACAATGAAGAATTATAAAAAGGTCTTTCTTTATGAAGTGATCAGGGACATTTTCTCTGAAGAAGTGACAATGCTAGGCAAAAAAATCATGAAAAGGAGCCTAACATAGAAAGGTGTCTATGTTTGTGTTGATGTTTATATGTATGTGTCTGTGGGGAGTGCTTTTAGGTAAAGATAATAACACGTGTAAAAGCCCTGAGGTAGAAAGATTGTAACATATTTATAGAACTGAAGAAAACAACAACAACTGCAGTACAGTAAGTGAAAGAGGTATAAATGAGTCACAGCTGCAGTCCAGGTAGGGGTTAAAAACTCCCTATGGTTCTTTGGGGAATTCTGCATATGCTTATGTTCCCATTATTTTTCACAGATTTATCTGCCTTATGTCCTTTTTTTTGAATAACTGCATTTGCCAAAATTTATAAAATAGTTTTAAATGTACTTCAAATGGGAAATGAAAATGTGAGAAGCAATGAAATTTACTAAGTCTAGGTCATAAATCAAGCAATTGGCAGAAAACTGAATGTGAAAGTGACAGTCATTGGATTCCAGAACCCATGATCTATACAGAATGCTCCCCACACGGCTCTTCGCAAACCCCAATCCTAGATGAGTGGTTACCATGGTTTCACTTAGTAAAAATATCACACAAATTTGAAGCAGAGGGCTCTGAATGTAGAAACCACAGAGCCAGAGCAAACTTCAGAACCTGTAATTCTATATCCACAATCTCAGCCAACTCTGAAATATGCTGATGAAAAACGAATGCATGCTGTTTGGTACACAATAACTACGATGTCTACCCATCATCTGACAAGTTGCTGTTCTTGTGCTGATCTATAAAATAATTGTTGTTGTTTGGTCATTAAGTCGTGTCTGCTCTTTCGTGACCCTATGGCCTGTAGCCCACCAGGCTTCTCTGTCCACGGGATTTCCCAGCCAAGAATATTGGAGTGGGTTGCCATTTCTTTTTCCAGGGAATATTCCTGACCCAGGGATCAAACCCACATCTCCTACACTTCAGGTAGATTCTTTACCACTGGGCCACCTGGGAAGCCCTAAAATAATGGATAGGAACAATACACAGTCTGCTATGATGTATATAACTGAGTGGCACAAAATAAGTATCAGCTATTATTTATAAACCTAATTGTTATTTTTCCATTCCCATCATTAAGTTAATAATGTGTGTAACTGAGTTATATAACATAAATATTATTATGCTTAAACCTAATTTTTATTCATTCAGTTTTCTAATATTTAATAATTCCAAACAATTATTGAGTTCTTTTTGTGGACTAGGACTTAACTCAGTTAAACAGTTTGGTAAAAATGCTTCTCACCATCAGGAGATGTTCATATGCATTAAAGTAGTTCTTTATATT